ACTTTCTGTAAATAGTCCCACATTGACTTTAAAATTCTTGAATCCAAAATTAATCCTTAAAATGTCTTAAATTAATTTCTGAAAAATGCTAATTTTTTTCATATTTGTTAATCAGAGGTCTTAAATTTTGTCATGGCAGAACTATTTAACCTTGTATGTTCTATGACTTTGTCAACTTAAAGTTTGAGTCTCCATATATATTCATTGTGTTTTGTGACCTGAGGAAGTTGAGGCTACGACTAGCTAGCTGGGAATATCCCCTTCATAGCTCGTCGTTAGATTTTTTTTACATCCAGTGAGTGCAAATTTATCGCCAATTTATCATCGTTTGTACCTTTTTGTTGCGATACAGGTCTTAAATGATGTCTGTAGGTGCCAGACTGCATCTAAAGTGAGTTTTACTGATTTCACAGCTCAGCGTGGGTTCTGGCTTTGACGTGAACTTTGAATTTCAGAGGTGCACACCATGCTGGACGCCCTGCTGCCACCGGATACCTACTTCCGCTTCAATCCCCTCATGAGCGAGGACGTGCCGCTGAACGAGAACCGGCAGGAAAAGCTCAACTTCCTCAAAGGCGAAGGGGATCGCTACCTCGAGCGCAACGAGGCCAAGCTGAAGAAGGCGGCCAGCGTGTTAGGCCAGGAGAAGGGCGCCATCCAGAAGCTGGCCGAGTGGGCCAAGCTGAAGGCCGACATGTACGAGGGAATCCGCTTCCTGTCCAAACTGTAAGTTTTTAAGGATAAAGAGGAGCAGGGGGAAAAAAATGCATTTCTAGCACATTCTTATTTGGAATTTGATTCATTCCTAAACGTTTACATGGGCTAATGATGATATTAACCTAGCGCTAACAACTGTTTATTTATTACAATATTGAGATGAAAGAAGTGGAGTTAAATAATGTGTTATATTTTTTTTTGTTTAAAGGGATATGTGTTATAGACAATATTATGACTGATGTATGGCTGATTTAAAAAAGTATTCATTTCTAAAAAAAAAAAAGGAAAAGAAAATCATGGACAAGAATGAATTGACTTGAGTTTGAACATTGAGAATGTAAATAATTTACATGTGTGAGACGCATGTTCATGGCCTGATACGTGGATGTGTGACGTGTTAATTTGAACATGTGAAACAAATGCCTGAAAACAGAGCTGCACCGATCAGTCAGGACGTTTTTTTCTCGCATGCAATAAATGGATGAAAAAGACAAAGCCCCGCTACTTTCCTTCTAAAGATGCGTTGACCTACAGCTTGTGCTTAATTAATATTAAAAAATTCAAGGAATTTGGGAAATGTTCCATTTTCTATACAATTCAAAACTTCTACCTCGGTCACAGGATCTGCAGAACGTTTATCTTTCATGTTGGGGAAAAAAGTCTGACCTCAAAGAAAACTGAAAATTGGTATCAGCAAAGAACTGCCTGATAGGTGCATCTCTACCTGTAAGTGATGTTTGCTTGCGTCATTGGTAACTTGAATAGATTAGGGTGTAAAGGATATGTGATTGCACAATGGGAACTGAAATAGGACTGCCTATTCTTAACACTGTACAAAAGTAAAACAAGAGAACTTGTGCACTTTGTAGGATAACCTTTCTTTTATCCTAGGGAGAAAATGTATTACTATTTGAAACAATCATGAATGTCTTTAAGTTCCTCTTTGTAGATTTTAGGAAGAAAATTAAACAAATGCATTCACTGGCCTAATTTTTAAAATTTTTTCAAAGCATGCTTATTCTGCTTGAAGCATTGACTTTGGGGCCTTTTATAATTGTGAGCATGTTTATCACGAGAATCCATTCACTGTAATTTCTTCTTTCTCTGTCCTTTAATGGAATTTTAAAAAGATCCAAAATGTCATGAAACAATAAAAGTTGTGATTAAAACGCTCTTGATTTCTCGTCTCATCTGAGTTGACGGCTCTCTCTGTGACAGTATCGCTTGTTATGTTTGACACACTTTCACACCGCACAATAAAATCGTCAGTCAATGCTGATTGTCTTCCCGTGGTTAACTGCTGTTTCTTTCAGCTGAAAATTCACCGCTTCACTTTTTGATCTCTAATTATTTGGTGAAATTCTTTGACGTCATTTCATGTCTTGCCCTCGTTGCGGATTCATGCCACCATGAATCTGAACCACAACAACAGCCAATATTTAAAAGTGAAGGATCTTCTCTTATTCTTTCTTTTGTTTTTTCTTTTTTACATTTGTTTGAAAAAAAAAAACCTCTAAATGTTAAAGTAACTATATCAGCCCTTTATGTAGCTTTCTGTTGCAGCTAGCACTTCAAGTCCTCAGTATTGCTTTAATATAAGAATTAAAAAAATTTAAAAGTTAAAGCAAGTCACGTTGGTATTTTTGCTTTTCTTTGGAAACTTGTAAACACAAATTTCAATGCAGTAACCCAAAAATACACCCTATTGTCATACTGCTCTAAGAGGAAATGAAGGCTCACCCACCTCAGCATTCTAAGTGCTCGCAGTAGACTGCAAAGTCACTATGCCATTATACGTTTGACACCCTTCATTAAAATGTGCATGCATTTTATGAAGTTAATATGTCTCATAAACAACACACAAACCTGATTTGAACCACAGGCCGCACTGCGTGGCAGGAATCTCCAAGGTGAATGTCACATTGTTTCATATCTCGGCTCAAATAAATTTGAAGTAAAATACATAATGTGGGTTTATGTAAATACAAGTGGAAATATCCATTTTTTTTGTAGCATCTTGAGTAATTGTTTTATTAAATTTTAAGTGGTATTTATTTTTAGGAATAAATACCTGATGGTGCTTAAAGTTGTGAAATCTTTAAGTCTGTCAGCAACTTTTCTCAGAGTTCTTAAAACCAAAATGCCAAAACTCTGGTACATGAAACAAGAATATATTTTCATGGCTCATATCACCGCATCATTAGTTGCTTGTTGTGGCAGGACCTGTCTGTCTCTTTCCCACCACCTCCTCCTCAAGCCGGGTTGGATTGTGTGGTCCGGTGGTGTTCCCTAGCAACTGTTGTAGCTCCGTCTTATTTACAATATTGTGGATGTACCCACGCGTGCCTATAATTGTCCCGGATCTGGCAGAAACAGAGCATGAAGCCGGTCTGCTGTGTGTATGTTTTATTGCTACAAGTGTATTTCCGTCATGCACCAAAGGATGTGATAGGCTTACAATCTCCTCTTCTAGTACAAGTTGTGTGATCTTGTGTGATTATGCAAGATTGAAATGCATGATGGGATCACTGTCTTCCACTGTTTAATCTAGCAGCACGTGTTCTTTTTCACATTTTGTCACAACAAATATCCCTTCTTTCTTGCAAACATAATTTAAGTCCTTGACATTAATTAATTTCATGGAAGCCCCTTCTGAACACATCTCCACATTCTGGGTTGCAGCTGATTGGGTCCAGCAAATAAACCTACAAAACATTCTTTGTAGTTTCCGGTCTCTCAACCGACTCCTTTCAGCATAAGGTGTGTGATAAAGGCCCAGATGCATCGACAACAGGAAGACTGAAGACTGCTTCACGTCGGCGTTTATCAAATCAAGTCAAGATGGCTGCCGTGTAAACACCAGTAGGGGAGCTTAAGTCTGGTGAGTGTCAAAGCAACATGGGTTCATCCTGATTTATCGTTTGTCTTTGTTTAAACAGGCCAGCTCCTAATAGAAACTCTGGAGTGGATCCAATGCGTGTTAAACGGCTTTGAGAGTCAACGTTTTGTCTTTCAAGTGATTTACTTTCTGAGCTTCGTGCAACGTCTGCTAAGGGCATGGGTAAGTTGAGAGCAATCCCTCGGAGAGTACTGTTGCACTGGGTTGGTATGTCTGCAGGGAGAAACACGGCGGCTGCCTTCACGTCTCCTCTCTGGGCAGAAACATTTACACAGTGGTGTGGCCCCTCCGCGTGTCCACCCAGTCGGTTAGTCTGGGGACGCACCTGGACACACAAACGCATCCTATTTGTCTGTCATCAAAGGTGCCTGTGCCCACTGGCGTAAAGTCTGGATGTTTATGGAGTCCTGTCCCCCAACAGTGACATTATGTGTTGAAAGATAAACTAAGGTAACACACAAAAATAACTGGTTTGAGTAGAAAGTCTCAAATCAGAGTTATTTATGTTGTCCTCCATGCAGTTGACACTTTGTGTAGCCTGTGACTTGACTCCATCTCTTATAAGCTCACGTTGCTCAAAAAAATGAAGTCTGAGATCCGTTAGCCTGCGTAAGCGTCACCTTTGGCACATTTTCACACATCATGCTCTTATGGTTAATTCTCCAATTTGTCCCTATAAAATAACTTATTGCTTGAGAGAGACGCTCGGCCAATGTCTGATTACAATCAAGAGAGGTAAGTGTTGTTGAAATGTGCTGTTGTAGAGCAGTTCAGACATTCACACACCACTGTTGATGATAATAAAGTTTTTCAAGAATTAAAACTGACAAAGAGTGAATGAAGTTGTCCCCAGCTTCCCCCAACCTGTGACATTTCGCTCAGGTCCTTCCTTGCACAATCTTGGATTAACTCCACTCTTCTGGAAGTTTCTTGTTCCCAACATTTATCTCCAATTTTGCACTTCGCATTTACGCCGCTCATTAGGAGGGGGGCGCTGTAGGTGTGGTTTGTTTATTCCCTGAAGACAATTCAACTTGAAGATCCTGTCCCTGGGACGTTATTCTCAAATAGAGGATTCTGTTTGGAACAAACGTTTTCCTATAGTCATCTTTAGCTGCGTAAAGTGAGATTTAAACTTTCAATAATAATAATAATTTGAAAAAAAGGCGCTTTATTTTACAATCAAAGAGAATATGTGAAAAATAATAAAATATAAATAAATACAGGGAAATAATTTTTTTCACCAAATTTCATCCTGGTGTTAATAATAACAAAACAGAAATCTTAAAAAAATTAAAAGAATACCGCACAGGAGAGCGGTGGTGTTTTTCGCGAAAGAGTGCGCCCTCCCAAACATAGATCGTCTCCTCAGCTGCTGCTCATGACAACGGCGGCGGGGGAAGCTGGTGAAAATACACAGCTTGCTGTTGCAGCCGCTGTGTTGAGGGGGGACGGACGCACCAGCAGGGCCACGCTCCCTCCAAAGAGACACACACACACACCTCATCGTCTCCAGCAGCATCAAGACACACTCGCCGAAAGAAAAGGGAAACTGCAACCCGGATTGCAGAAAAAGGTAAGTGAGGACATGCGATTATCATTTTTCCCCCCCTCCTCAAAAAAAGATGGCTTCATTTCCCATTGTTTTGATGATTGTTATTATAAAAAAAATATATATATGTATATATATATATTGCGGATAGTCGTTCAAGTCATTCTTTGGATGCGGCATCCTCACCATCGGTAATTAAGACCGAGAAGGACGTCAGGTGCGAGTGATTTGAGTACTGGATGTCGCGCGTGCGTGTGTTTTGTGTGTTATTTTTTTTTGTAACGTCGGTTCCGCAAAGCATCAAAGGCTGAGAGACCGCTGCGGTCGCTGCGCCGCGCGCACTGCATCTTGAGGAGCTGCCATCAAAGGCGAGCGGAGGGAGGGAGGGAGAGAGGGAAGGCAGGCAGGCAGGCGGCGTGTTGTGGGTTCGCTACACCCCCCACTCCATCCCCAACCCGTCGGTGGTGCGGCAGGATTTGTGTCGCCTACTGCCGGCCGGTGCGGGAAGGCCCCGCAGGAACTGAGCGGATGGTCGGACGAAGCCAGCTGGAAGCCCCGCTCCTCCTCCTCCTGCGAGTTTCTGCATTTGGACTTAAAGAAAGACGACAAAGGCCTTCTTTTAATTCACCACGCTTTCAGAATCGCATCTAATTCCTGATCTGGTCTATATATATATATATATATATATATATATATATATATATATATAAAATTGAAACGAGATTTTTTTTAAACGATTGTGAATTTTGCCAGATGCGTGACATGGCAAATCAGAGAAGTGATGCTCACAGATTGCATATTGGAACATTTTCCTCTCTCACTCTGGCTGTATGTGTTGCACAATAAACAGTCGCTCAGTGACAGAGTGGATTTATATGAACTAGCTCTCTGCTCATTTCTTTATGTCAGATGGTGATGATGGTTTGACAGGCTTAGCTCTCAGTGTTGAGATATTTTAGGCATATATTGTTCACTTATTGGGGTTCAAATGTAGGACCTGGATAGGGAAGGAAGGATGGCTAAATGATTGGAAAACATATGATGGACAGAATATCTAGCTGTCTAAGCCATCAGTCTACTGTAGAGAAGTTCATTTACTGTCTAACCTTGACAGAAATAAATATTAATCGAAAGAAAGCTGTTATTCTATACTAATCTGGAAAATCTGGTTTGCCAAAACTCACCTTCTATGTGACTATACTGCAGTGTTGTTGATTTAGCTTGATGAGAAATCATTTACAGAACAAATCAGCTCATACCTTGACATTGTATATGTGGTGTGTGCGTGTGCATGCCAGCCATTGCTTCCACCTCTGTCGAGTTCTTCTCTCAGTAGGAAATCAGACGATGTGGGTTCAGTCTCCTCTGACAGATACCCCTCCACCCACTACCCCATCCCAACCACCAGGCTTGTCACAGCAGTCGGCTCGGAGCCATTACTCAAGGCAGATATGGTGTCATCATCCCTGCTCTCCTCTGTTTTCGTCCACGGCTCATTAAGCGGGAAGCCGAGTGGATAAGGGTTTATGGTTGGCTTGGGCACGTTCCTCGTTCTGTTTGCTGTACCTGTGTGCGATGGCACAATCCAAAGATGAAGGCCATGTGTCCTTTCAGTCTCGTCAATGTAAACAAACCAATCTTTGGGTAAGATTTTCCATAGCAAGGAACCTAACGTGAAGCCATAACAATCATGCAACAACCATATTAACAATACTGTTGATGAGTTATTCACATTATTCTGAGCATTATTTCTAAATGCCTACTTTAGATCACAAATATCAATGCTCTGTTCAGAGTTTATGATTGGCCCAACTAAGTGTTAGCTCCGACAGGGTAAACAAACATCTTAAAGGAGGCCCGCTGTCATTTTTAAAATGTTTTTCACAAACAATTTCATAAACAATTTGTTTAAATATCAGTACAAGATATTGTGCTGTGTCCTTTTCCACTAATATTTATTTAAATGTGTTTAATCAAAAGAAAAATGTGGAAGTGACTGTTATTTAATTAATTTTAATGCTCCAGTTTCAATGCAAGCAAGATTCAAATTGATTTATGTTCTCATAGCCTGTTTTGCCGGAGGCAGTAGCCAAACAAGGAAACAGTGCCTCATATCAATTCATCCCCAGAGGTTATTTAGTTGATTTTCTTCTTAAGTAGCCATAAGGAAAGTGTTGCAGGTGCTGATGGACATAAACTCTTAAATCTTAAGACATGAAAATGAACAAGAAAACAACATGAAAAACAAAATACAACAACAAATAAATATACCAATCACTGTAATATTTTTGAAAGTTTTTGGACATATTTTTATCCAAGCTGCTGCCCAATAAACATAATTAGCATCATACATCCCCCCTGAACACTTTGGGTTAATAGCCCCCTGTAGCGATAATGATGAGTTCCTGGAAGTGGGAGGAGCATAACCAGCCTCAGTGCCTTACGACTCGCAGCTGAACATGTTCGGATGGCTGTTTTCATTTACATCGTCGCGACGCATGAAATTGGCGAGACTGACTGAAGACTGATGAATAGGAAAATGGGCATGAAAGCCAAGACTGATGGTTGATTCGAAAGAAAGCAGCTGCTGTTGTTGGTGCTGTTTTCTCTACAGGACAGATGGTTTTCATTGATGCTCTTTAGTCTTTTTTAAAAGGATATTATTACTATTGAAAGATATACTGTTTTGCACGATTGTGTCATGTTACCTGTTCTGCATCCGGAGGCTATGCACCGTTTGTCCAGTGTATACAATTTAAAGCCATGTCGCTGTGCTAGGGCAAACCTGATGTGGGCTACAGATGATTAGAACAAACTAAACATCCTGAACCGCCGTAAGACATATAGCCACATTTAATTTACTGAGTTTTGCACATGTAGTTAAAGCAATGATGCGGTAAATGTGCCTTAAAGGCAAAAATTGTCTCGCCATCAGAAAGGAAAGCCAGCAGAAAGTTTGAGTCTGCCAATAAGGAGCTGGTGTTGATTGATCAGGTGGGCAGCAGATGGGAAAGTGGAAAGGTTGCCGGACTGGTTATGGTTGTGCCAGTGCAGAACGTGTGTCCAGTTTACATCGGCTGATTTGATTACATGTTTTGAAAGGCATACAGGTGGCGGTGCATTTTAGGTGGCTTGGCTGCAGTTATCTGTGGGACACAACTGGTTATTGCTGAAGTTGGAACCTTTGGGATCAAACATTTACCACATGTTAGGCTTTCAAATCAACAGTTTTCAAGAAAGTAAGACATTGGGATAGTTATACAAGAGATGGAAAAGGCAGACTTCCAAAACTGAAGACTGCCTTCAGTTTTGGCAGTTTGAATGGACGTATGCTCATAAAATGATCAAAAAAACTAATTTTTATTGAATTTATGGTAGTTGAGTTGATGCAATGTGATGCATATTCATTCTATTCACTCTAAACTTTTAAAAAGTTTTAAGTTTGGCTTGCATTGAATACTGATTAGGTTTTTATCTTGTTTTTTCACTTGCCAAAAAAAACAAAAAAGCAAAAACAAACAGGACTTTGAAAAATGAAAAACTTAGTGAAAACAAGGCCAGCTTGCTTGATTAGTCATAGACAAACAGACAAAACCTTTACCCTGAGCCATGCTTCAACCTTTGAGAGGCAAGCTGCAAGCTATCAGGTAAAAAGTCATCAAGTTGTCTCGCTGGAGAGTCGTAGAGCAAATGTAAATGTCTGTTAAAATCCACCCAAAAATGTCTGCTCGGCCGAATTCTTCACAAAGGACTTTTGCTGGGGCGACCGGCGAAAATCCTTCGGGACAACAGTGGAGCTCTCCCAACTGACCCAGAGCTCGACTGAACACATCAATTCTTGGCTATCGCCTGCAGACTGAGATTATCTTGTTCCATCTCCACCAGCCTCATGAACTAGTCTTCAGAGCAGCAAAGCGAAAGAGGTTTTTAAGACAATTGTTAAAATTTCAGCGGCGGGCCAATAATATTCTCCCAGCACCGCGATCTTTGTCGCAGCTTTAAAATCATTAGTACAGATTTGGGTCACGGGAATCCTTAAGGAGTTCCTCTCATCACTCTAAAAAGCCCAGCTGGTTTCAGGCTGTCGTGCGTAGTAACGTGTTGGAGCCATTCTGCCTCAGCCTTTATTGGGGAAAAATGGTTTTCCTGTAAAATGTTAAATCTATTAGCCCTTGTAGAGGTTTTCTTTTTATAGAACGCTGGTGTGAAGATACAATTTTAATGCCTTTACATGAATTGTACTGTATTTCACAATATTTGATTTCTAATTTCTCTGAAACGCAGATAATAAATAACACTGATATTCCAGACTGGTCACAGTTAAAGTTCATGAAACTGTTTTCACATCTTGTCATTACAGTAATAAACCTCATTGGAGTTTTGTACTTTATGTGGTAGAAAGTGCCATAAAGAGCCATAAAGTGGCTCGCAATTGTGCATTTGTGCATTAATATGCACTTAATATGCACTTAATAGCCCATTAAGTAGTAGTATCAGTAGTGGTCTCATTAATAGTATTCTAATGAGACTGAATGCTTTTTTTCTGACGAATGTATTAAAAAAATCTAAATATTTAATTTTATGCAACGTTTCAAATACCTATGTCGTACCATTATAAAATGTGGAAATCGCTGCACGGTGTATAAAATGAACTCCTAGTCTTGTTTGTTAGAGGAACACACTATGGTGAGTCTCTGCTTGTCATCAAGAAGTGGTAAACGCATTATCTCCAATTGATGGCGGGCCTCACACATTCTCAGCCCTGCTTGCCTGCTTCACCCCAGGGGAGGCTGCTCTGAGGCCACGCTGTCTTCACCGATGGTCCCTTTCTTGACCTGAAAGAATGTCTTTGTGGGAGAAGATAAGCACACAGTCGCGATGGACGAAGAACAGGAGCAGATGTCGCCGTGCAGAGGTCGTTCGTCTGCTAAAGACGAGTCTCGTCTGCGTTTTAAAGCGATTAAGGAAAGTCAGGAAAGGGGCATCTGCACTCATAAAAATCTTCCCACATTATCAGGAAAAGT